GAATTTCATCAATAATTGTTCTATTTCTTTGAAGAATGCATTGAAATTTTGATGGAATAGCATTGAATCTGTATATTGCTTTTGGTAGGATGGCCATTTTTAATAATGTTTATTATCCAATCCATGAGCAGGGGATGTCTCTCCATTTCTTTGTGTCTTCTTTATTTCTTTTAACAGTGTTTATAGTTTTCTTTGTATAGGTCCTTTACCTCTTTTGTTAGATTTATTCCCAAATATTTGATTTTTTTGTTTCAATAACAAAAGGGATGGTTTTTTGATTTCTTTCTTCTTCTTCAGATTTATTGTTTGTGTATAGGAAGGCTACTGACTTTTGCGTGTTGATTTTTGTATCCTGCCACTTTACTAAACTGATTGATGAGTTGAATTAGCTTTCCTGTGGAGTTTTTGGGTTCTCTATGTATAATATCAATCATCTGCAAATAGTGATAGTTTGACTTCTTCTTTTCCTATTTGGATTCCTGGATGTCTTTCTCTTGTCTTATTGCCCTGGCTAGGACTTCCAGTATTATATTGAAAAGCAATGGTGAGAGTGGACATCCTTGTCTTGTCCAGATCTTAATGGAATTGCTTTCAGCTTTTCACCATGAGAATGATACTGGCTGTTGGCTTGTCATAGATGGCCTTATGATGTTGAGGTATGTTCCTTGTATCCCAAGAATTTCAAGGGCTTTTATCATGAATGGGTGTTGCACTTTGTCGAAAGCTTTCTCAGCATCTATTGATATTATCATATGGTTTTTATATTTCTTTTTTGTTGATGTGTTGGATAATGTTGATTGATTTTCGGATGTTAAACCATCCTTGTGCCCCTGGAATGAATCCAACTTGGTCGTGGTGAATTATCTTATGGATACATTGTTGGATTCTGATAGCTAAAATTTTATTGAGGATTTTGCATCAGTGTTCATTAGGGAGATTGGCCTGTAGTTTTTCCTTTTTTGTGTTTCCTTGTTCGGTTTTGTATAAGTGTAATGTTGGCTTCATAAACGTGTTGGTATTGTCCCTTCCTTCTCAATTTTTTGGAAGAGTTTGTGAAGGATAGGCACTAATTCGTCTCTGAATGTTTGGTAGAATTCATTTGTAAATCCATCAGGTCCTGGGCTTTTGTTTTTGGGAGGTTTTTAATTACCATTTCAATTTCGCTAATTGTAATTGGTCTGTTTAGGTGTTCTATTTCTTCTTTATCTAGCTTTGGGTGATTGTAGAGTTGTAGGAATTTGTCCATCTCCTCTAGATTGTTAAACTTGTTTCCATATAACTGTTCATAGTAGTTACTGATTATTCTTTTGATTTCTGCTGTGTCCGTTGTGATTTCTCCTCTTTCATTTATGATTCTGTGTATTTGTGCTTTCTCCCTTTTTTCCTTTGTGAGCCTGGCTAGGGGTTTGTCTATTTTATTTATTTTTTCAAAGAACCAGCTCTTGGTTTCATTGATCTTTTGGATTGTTTTTTTAGTTTCAATTTCATTTATTTCTGCTTTGGTTTTTATTATTTCTTTTCTTCTACTGGTTCTGGGTTTTTGTTGTTCTTTTTCTAGATCTTTGAGCTTCGAGATTAGGTTGTTTCTTTGAGTTTCTTTCTTGTTTTTGATGTGAGCTTCTATTGCTATATATTTTCCTCTTATTACTGCTTTTGCTGCATCCCATACATTTAGGATATTGGTGTCCTCCTTGTCATTCAATTCAAAGAATTTTTTAATTTCTTCTTTGATCTCCTCGTTAGTCCAGTGGTCTTCCAGTAGTGTGGCTTTTAATCTCCATGAGGTAGGATAGTACCTTGCCTTCTTTTTATGATTTATTTCTAGTTTGATGCCTTCGTGGTCAGAAAAGATGGTTGGTATGATTTCAATCTTGGTGTATCTGTTGATGTTTGTCTTGTGCCCCAGTATGTGATCGATCCTGGAGAATGATCCGTGTGCGCTTGAGAAAAATGTGTACTCCGTTTTTTTTGGGTTTAGTGTTCTATAGATGTCTGTTAAGCCCAAATGCTCTAGGTCCTTATTTAGAGCTTTAGTTTCTTTACTTATTTTTTGTCTTGTTGATCTATCCATTGTTGATAGTGGTGTGTTGAAGTCTCCCACTACATATGTGTTTTCTCTGATGTCTGTTTTCAGAGAGGACAACAGTTGTCTGATATATTTTGGTGCTCTTTCGTTTGGTGAGTATATGTTAATGAGTGTTATTTCTTCTTGAAGTATTGTCCCCTTAATCATAATGTAGTGACCATTGGGGTCTCTTTTTATCTTTTTGAGTTTGAAGTCTGTTTTATCTGATATAAGTATAGCTGTTCCTGCTTTCTTTTTTGGCCCATTTGCTTGTAGGATTGTTTTCCATCCTTTGACTTTGAGCCTATTTTTATCTTTTGTAGCTAAATGTGTTTCCTGGAGACAGCAAAAGGTTGGGTTTTGTTTCTTAATCCAGCTGCAACTCTGTGTCTTTTTATTGAAGAGTTTAGTCCATTTACATTTAGAGTTAAATATTGATATGTTAGCATCTGTATTTGCCATTATGTTGTCTTTCCTTTGATTTTATTTATTTATTCTTTTAATAACTTTTTTTTTTTTTTGGTCTTCTTTCATTGTTATTCGTCCCTCTGAGGTTCTGGCTTTAGGATTCCTTGTAGTATTTTTTGGAGTGGGGGTTTAGTCGCAATGAAATTCCGGAGTTTCTCTTTGTCTGGGAAGGTCCATATTCTTTCTTCATGGAGGAAAGAGAGCTTTGCGGGATAGAGTATTATTGGTTGGCATCTGTTTTCTTGGAGTCTGTTGACTATGTCCCTCCACTCTCTCCTTGCCCGTAGTGTTTCTTCAGAGAAGTCTGATGTCAGCCTGATTGGTTTTCCTTTGAATGTTATCTGTTTCTTCCCTCTTGTCAGCTTCATTATTTTTTTCCTTGTCCTGGATTCTTGGGAGCTTTACTATTATGTGTCTTGCTGTGTTTTTCCTTCGTCGTGGAAGTTTGGTGTTCTTCTTGCTTCTTGTATATCAATTTTCAGCTCCTTCTTCTCATTTGGGAAGTTCTCTTCAATTATATCCATGAATATTTTCTCTGTTCCTACATCTCTCTCCTCTCCTTCTGGAATTCCTATAACTCTTATATTTCCTTTCCTCATGGAGTCAGATAGTTCCCGAAGTCTTTCTTCATTCTTTTCCTTCGTACTTCTCTTTCCTTTTCTGTTTTGGTTCTTTTTATTTCTGTGTCTTCAAGATTACTTATTCGTTCTTCCATTTCATCTATTCTGCTTTCATTGCTTTTCCCAGAGTTCTTTAGTTCCTCCATTAATTCTTTGATCTCCTGCATTTCTCTTACTTCCCTCTTTAGGGACTCAATTTCCTTCTTCTGATCTATCACTTTTTTAATCATGGCAATTTTAAATTCTCTTTCTGGAAGGCTCAGAAGTTCTTCCAAGTTGCTGTCGTTGCAATCTGGGGAGTGGTTTTCTTTTGTGGTGTGCTTCTTTCCTGAGGAGTTTTTAGGTTGCGTGTGGTTCTTCTACTCCCTACTGTCTGTTTTCTAATTTGTCGTATGCGTTGGGACACTGTGTTGCTCGGACTGACTGACATCTTGGGTGAACTTCTCCGCTCCCCTCTGGCTCTTCCAGGAGCCATCTCTGTCTTCTGGGGGAGCTTTCTGCTGGTTTTAGGCAGTTTTACTGAAGAAATGTCCCTGTTCTCAAATGGCGAAGCGGGATGCAGTCCTGCGCCTCCGGTTTCAGGCACACTCTTCTGCGCACCCAGTCTGCCCCAGACGTGGGTGCCTGCTCCCTCTGTGGGCTCAGACTGCTGGTCGGAAGGGGCCTGGCGTGGAATAACTTCCCGGCTGGCCACTGGGTCCTCCAGAAACCTTCTGCCCTTTTCAAGCAGTCTTAAGAAATGTCCGGCAGCCCGGGCTGTGCGCGCGTCTCCCGGGGTCTTTGTTCTTCTCTAATGGCGCCCGGAGCCGTTCGCTCACCGCCGAGGCGGATCCTGCAGGGTTCGCCTCAGCTCCCGTTCACGGGGTGTGGTGGCTGCAATAGTTCCTTTCCACTCACAGTCCCGCTTGCTGCGTTCGTTTGTTCTTGTGGGTCGTTTTGGTTTGTTGTTTCCTCCTCTACATCGCAGCAAGATGCCTGGCTCCCGGGTCTCCTTTCTTCTTTGCCAGGCTGCAACAGCCACAACAGCCCAAACAGCTGTCCAGATCCTTTTAAGCCTCTCATGTCACATTCACATTTACATGAAGGTAGCCCACCCCTCCCCCTCACACACACACACTTGAGATGCACACACATGAACGTACAGAGAAACCTGCACGCACAGTTCACACGTACAAACACTCACACGATAGACAAAGTTCACATGTACAAACACAAACACACTCACAGACAAAGATTCACAAGCATCACACACTCTCATAGGCTTTTTGAAATGGTGTTTCTAAGGTTACTTCCAACAAGTTCCTTTATTACTTAGTTAACTGTATTTATAGCAAATAAATTTCATGGTCTCTGGAAAGATATAATAAAATGATATTCATGAATAGACTTTGAAAAATAAAAGGTTAAAATAGTAATGTCTGATGAGACGCCACTGCTGCCTCAGCTAACAGACATGTAACTAGAAAGTTCTAACCCGTTTTCCTCAATCTGTTAGCCTGCACTCTGGGGCTAGAAGGAGACAATGCCCGTGAGTAAGTCACCTGAGTTAGCCGGCATGTGTCACATCACAGACCTGAGTGTCTGAGGGGTGCGGAGGCAGGCAGTGGCTAAAGCTTGAGGCTCAGCAATGTCCCCCTGCATTCCCATGACAACCTCCCACCAACTCTCAACAAGGCCTTTCTCCTCCACCACCTTTCTTTGACTTTCTGACTGAAATGCCTGAGATCCTCTGAGAACGCTCCTCCCTGAGAGTCCACTTACTCTCAAGGGAGGTTACTAATAGGTTCATAGATGTGCTAACTTAGAATGGAGAAAGGAAAAATGGAGCCCACAGGGCAGCTCCTGTGCCTCTGAAGGGTCATTTAACTCCCTGCTTTGCAGACAAGAGGGCAGCGTGGCTGTGGGGCAGAGCTCACCATCTGCACGCACTCCACCAGGGGCAGGCGCACGGCCTGGTTCCCGCTCAGCGACACCACACAGGCCGGGGTCTCTGGGGTGGCCTGGAGAAGGGCGACCACGGCCTCCACGCCCATGCGGCTGGCCTGGAAACAACATCACAGAGGTCAGACAGGTCAAGTCCACTTCCTTCCCCTCCCCCAACCCCCACGCCAGACTAGCCCACACTGCCTGCTGGTACGAGGGAGAAGGGGGAAAAGCAGAGGCAGGAGAACCACCCAGATCCCCACTCTAGGTCTCTGCTCCCCAAGTCTGTTTCTAGAAACCTGCACATGGAAGACCTCCTTTTTACCTCCTGAGTTTGTTCAGGAGCCTCAGTCATCCTCAACTTCCCTCACTGGATAGGTGTCCCACATCTGCGGGACTAGACTCTTCAAGGCAGCAGGTGTCCATGTGGAAGCCCCGGCCCCTCCACTGAGCCACCTGGCAGAGACACCTCTATCGAAGGGTGCTCAGTCTTTGTGGCAAATCCATTCCTTTGCCTCCCCAGAAAAAAATGCCCTCTGACTTCCACCCTCACTTACCAAAATCCTGTCAAAGGCTGAAGGTGTCCCGCCTCTTTGCACATGTCCAAGTATGGTCACTCGCGTGTCATACCCCAGCTGTTTGACCACAAGCTGAAGGGAAATAGCTCTGTCAGGTGACACAGAACACAACACGCCATGGGCCGGGCACACCCACCCGTGCTAGGTGACGGGCTGGGGACTGAGAAGAGTCCCTACGCTTCCTTCGGATCCACATGGGCAAAAACATGTTAATTTCTAAACCTGGCTTCCTGGAGGAATGTTTAGCTTGATGGCTAGCTGAAAATTATTTTTTAAAAATAATACCTCTGTAATCAATTAAAAATCTTATGTCTCTCCTACCTTGAAAACAAACATAAGTAACATGACTTAAAAAAAAAAAAATCTCTTTGTGTAGCTTATTGAAAACAAGACTAATACTTTATAAAAATGTAACCATTTCCATGAATCACCTTAAATTTGTATAGATGTATGTGGAAAGGACAGCAGTAAAGTTGAGCTATCCTCCTCAGGCTGAGACCCATATGGACCCCAGGGGGAGAGCCGGGGCAGGTAACCTGTCTTCCTGGGCCTCAGTTTACTCTACTATGGAGATAACGGGTTAGCACATAGAATTCCATAGAATTCCTTTTTGCAGTCTTATAGTCCATGATTCATGCTCAACTTTGATTAGGAGGAACACAAGAATCTTGGCTCTATCGATAACTTCTTATCAATATTGCCAGGTAATTTTCACAGATCTCTCTCAATGTTTTAATATTCAGATGTACAGTTGGTAGGAATTAATAACAAGATTTTTTTTTCTCACTAGTGACCATAACCAGGCACGCAGTAGAGAAACCAACTTAAAAATCCAAATCAAAGTGTCTTTGATCCTGAGGGGTGGTTTTAACCAGAGCCTGTCTGTTCCTCAGTGTTCCTTCCGGATTTGTGGTTTTCTTCTAGAACCCAGTTGGCCTGGCCAACCCATCCTGGCCTGTCTGGCCCAATAGGCCTGCCCCCATCTGATTGAGGCAACAAGATAGCAATCAGGGTGGGTGGGTGTGGTGGTGGGGGGGCGGAAATGGTAGTGTCTTAAGTTACTCAAGCACACATTCTTGGCTGATCCTATTAGAGTGGCTGGTAGCCAGAGGTGGAACCTTTTATACCACTCTACCTAGCTTCCTCCATCTGTCTGGGAAAATGAAGCCTTTGGTAACATTCCCAGTGGGAAGGTAGGAAGCACAAGACCTCCAGAGCTGGGAGCTGTATGAATCTCATTAAAGTTATGAGCCACTATAAAAATATTTTTAAGTATCAGGATGAACAAAAAGTGCTTACAAAAGAATAATGCAGGGTTCTAAACCCAAATCATGCCAGCACACTAAGCTTCCCCATTTTCAAGTGGGTGACAGGGGACTAAAGAGAAGATGACACTCACCTCCTTGATCTGCTCAGAGGTAATGGGTCTATTTTGGGTATCAATTGCTCCTTCAGCTACAATGATAATATTCAGTCTTTTTTTTCGGGCACGGTTCTAAGAAAACAGAAAATGAAAATCTTCAAATGCTGAAACTCTTCTTAAACAACCTGGGGCAGTTTGCTTCAGTGACCTGGTCCCTTGCCAGTAGGATCTGTCAAGTTTACAAACTGTGCTTCCGAACAACAGGCACCCTGGGAGGGTGAGTACTAGAGGGCAGGAGGAGTCAGAGGTGCTCCCTAAGAGGTGATTTTGACTCCCTAGTCAGTTTGTCATGGGGAGTCACACACATATGTTGTTTGGGTTTTAGGATGGATAATTCATTATTACTATACATCAAACAATTTTTCAGACAGAAATCTTTAAGGTGTGAAGATAACAGTACACAAGCAATTATTTTTGCATCATTTGGAAAACCAAAAATATAGGAAGCAATGGCACGTCCATGAATAAGGGATTTGTCAAATAGCCATGCTTTACCCACAAAACATTCTGAAACTCTTAAAAAATGACAGTGTTGTCTATATACTTCCATGGGAAGATAATTCACTGAAAGCCTCCTGGGTCCCCACCTGGATCAACTAACACATTCACTGACTCCTCATGGGATCACTAAGGAGAGATCATGTCACCCACATCATGCCGAGGGGGTTAGGACACGGGACAGTGGTGCTGGCCCTGATGAGGGACAGAGCCAAAATCTAACCCTAGGAATCCTGATGCCTTGGACAGTCCTTTTCAATTTTGCACTCAAATCTCTTGGACTTGGGGCTAATTTTCTAAGTCATTTTATGCAGCAAGATATTGGAAAAATTCTTGCAGTGCTGCATTAATAACCAATTAATTACATATTAGATATATTACATATTCCCGTAGAGCTACGTTAATGCCCAATAAAATTAATTACACATCAGGCATTTTATTACATAGTCTTATAATGCAACATTAATGACCAATAAAAATTAATTACATATTAAATATAACAATATCAAGTGTTTACACATTCAAGTTCTTTTAAAACAACTGTCCTACACATCTGTCAAGACTTACAGGAGAGAGGACCCCACAAATTCTTACTGTTGTCCTAACTGCCTGTGCAATTTATGTTCAAAACTCAAAAATATTTGCAGAGAAGACTACAGAGTTGCAGAAATAATGACAATCGATACATGAAAATCAAACGACCACTTCAACTTCCCCCAACCTTCCTGACCACCATATTCTTGGTGTCAGCCAGGGTTAGTTTCTATTTCGCTACAGGGCTCCCATTACTCCCTGGCCTGCCACACCATTGCCCTGGACAGGGCTAGAGACAGGCAGGGAGGTGGAAAGGTGGCTGCCAGGGGACAGTCACAGTCTCTTGGGGGTTGTGACTTTAAGTAATATATCACACGCAGTGGTAATTGCATGGATGTCCTCAGACCACACAGAAGTTAACAGTCTCGAAAGAATACCACCTTCCCTCATGCAACCAACCTGGCCTTGCCCCACACCAGCTGGTGGGTGGAGGATATTGCTCATGTCCCATATCAGAGCCACAAAACAATGAACTTACTTAGGACTTTAATAGTAACGTTCATACTTGAATAGCCCCGCTTTACTGGTTTTGTATAGCTAAAGGCTCTAACCTCCAAAGGTACATGATGCTTCTCAGCAGAAATGCAGCTTTGATCAGAGCTCCTTATACCAGTTTTTAGGTCAACAAAGCACCCTGCTGGATTCCTTTCTCCAACTCTGTCACCCTGAAGGTGAGGGCCGTGTCTTCATGCGCACTGGGCCCTGTGGCATGAGGAGTGGTGCTTGCTGAATGTAGGGGTGAGTAGCCTATGCTGCTTGCTTACATTACTTACCACTAAACAGTGAGACGACAGTTATCAAAATAAAAGAAGGGAAATTGACCACACTTTGGGATTTCTGCCCTGAAAGTTATAAGTTGCTTTTATGTGCAAACTCATATGCCTTCATTATAGAAGCCTTCAGGGAGGGAAACTTGCCTGATGCTAATCAGTCACAGTGTGAAAGGCAAACATGCACAGACTCATGGCAGTGGGGGAGGCCTGGTTCACAGTGTTTAGCCCACAAACCTGGCAGTCAGGCCAGTGCGAGGGGGACAAAGCTACCGGAGATGTCATAGCATGTGGGGGAACTTAGGTTGGAGTCAAAACACAGGTCTGTTCATGCTTGGTGAGTGGAGAGAGGCATGAAGCAGATTAGCTGCCCAACTGTGAACTTTCTTTTAAGAGCCATGATTTCTGGGAAACTCCTTAATCTAAAGCTTTAACTACTGTTCTGCATGAAGAACAAAAAAGTTATAGCTGTTTCTCTATCGCATTACTCTGCAATATAAAAGAGAACATGGATCCTTGACTAGTCAATATAGGTAGACCCTCTGGCAAGCGTGAATTCACTTTGAAATTGGTAAGTTTTCACCAATTGAAAACTGCCAAGTTGACAATGCCGGAGGCTGCTGCAGATCCTGGTCTGCGAAGTGCAAGTGACTCACCGGAGATGGAGGGAAACAAAGCGTGAGTTACCTCTGAGAGCTTGATGCACATGTGCTCCTGCCAGCCTTCTTCTGGGGGCGACTCTGGAAGGAACACCCAGTCTGCCCCACAAGCCAAGGCGCTCACCAGGGCAAGGTACCTATTTAGAGAAAGCAATGATCCCATAAGGCTGCCATGGACAGAGCTCAGCCACCTTGGGCCACAGAACATGGGTGCTTGTTCTGTGCTTGCATGCTTGCTTCCCTCCCAGGAAGCACTCAATGTGAGTGCAGGGCTCTCGGGAGAATGTGCTAATAGGGATTGTTTCCATTTGAGTTGTACCCCTACATACGTACCCGCAGTGTCTGCCCATGACCTCTAGAACAAAGGTCCTTTGGTGGCTGGAAAAAAAGACAAAATAAACATCCATTCACCATTACCAGAACAGCATGGAAAACAAGGAGAAAAGTGCTTTTGCAGCCAAGGTAGACAGCACCCTCCCTAGCACCCCAATCATGGTAGGTCCTTGACTCCCCACCATTGACCCATTTTCTACAAAAGCAAATGCCATCCCAGCAGCATGCTGTGCCATCCCATTTTCTGTGATAAGGGGCTTTGGCAGCAAGCACTCTTTCTGGTAACTCGTTGTACATCTGTTTGCCTGTGCCCAGGCATATCTGCACTTCTAGGGCAATTTTCTAGGTTCTTTCCAAGAAAATAGCTCTACTTAGCTAGTCACTTCTGCTGCCAAGAAACACAGGCTGGAGACGCCCCCAGCAAACACAGGAGACAGAGGGTTGGGAGTTAGACAGTCAGCTTCGTGACTGCCCCACAGCTCTGATCCTTCCGTGAAAGGAAAACCTGACTGCTGCCAGCAGTTCATGGCGTGGTTTTCCAAAAGTCATGCTGTTCTCAGGAACTGGACAAACCTGAGCCTCTTCAAACAAAAATTGGGAGGCACTTATGCTATCTTCCCTTTCACTTGGTCTTGGTGAAAAGTGTCTCCACGCTCCCAAGTGCCACATGAAGAACACTCAGGGATGATCCTGCATGAGTCTGTCACCGCGGACAGAATGCCACGTTTCAGCTTCACCTAACCTTGTAACATCTGCAGGTTAACATCCAGGCTGTGCTTGCTGGCGTGTCTAACAAGGGTGTGGCAAAACTCACAGTTTTACTGACTGAGGTTCCCAAAGAAGACCTTTGCCCAGGACTTTAGATAATGATTCCTTGTCTTCCACGCTTTTCTAAATTCTCTCTGATGAACCAATTTTTCTCTGAAAGTCCATAGTTGGGAGTAACTTTATAACTTGGAAATAAAAAGATGTCTTGTACCATTTTCTAATACTCCAGGCATACAACTTGCACAGAAGGGTTCCCCTGTGGAATCTCCCAGAGCCAGCACCAAGGTCTGGGCCACGCACACACATGTCCAGCGCCATCACCACCTCTCCAGAGGCTCCTACCTCTGGGCGGTGGTCATGATGGCATCCACGACCTCAATGATCCTGTGCAAGGCGGAGTCAGTGCCGATGGTCATGTCGGTCCCACAGAAGTCATTGTCGATGGAGCCCACCATGCCCACGACATTGAGATAGCCATACTTCTCTACCTCCTCTTTGCTGATCTTGCCTGTGGGGAAGAACAGATCACATGTGCTTTGTCAGCACTGGGCACTAACTGGTAGGTGGCCATGGGCAAGAAACCCTCAATTCTAAACTTGCTCTCTTTCTTTTTTCATTTTATCAGAACTGCATGTAAATTAAAAATAAAAACCAGACAAAGGTGGAGGGGATGACACAGATGCTGCTGATATTCAGAGAAGTCACAAAATGAAAGGAGCAAGGATCAGCACATAGCAACTGGTGGGCAAGACTGACTTCAGTCTGGCACCGGCTTCAGAGAAAGGCTTGGCTCTAGGGGAGGGCAGGTCACAGAACAGAATAAAGCCCTTAAGAATGCTGTGTAACCGGCCTATTGATTTCTCCACATCCGTGGGGGCTGGAGAGTTGACAGGTATCTACTTAGCATTCTCAGAAAAGATGAACAGTTCTGGCAGATGTTCTTAAGTAGAGTTGGAATTGAGGGTGTACAGGCAGCAGGCCTGAACTCAGGCTATTCCTCCCGAGTGATCCCCAAGCCTGAGTTACACCAGAATAAGGTGGCTAGAAGGTGCTTGGATCTTGCTGCTTGCCTCTGATAGCCATTCCTTATTTCCTAAAGCAGATCTTACAGACCGTCAGGCACCTGCATCAGTTCAAGTTTACACCCTTTACAAAGCTGCTGTTATTCAGGCAATATACTACCACAAGTTTTACATTAAATTGGAATCTTATAATAATAGCTTTAAGATAAAACCCATGTCATGTACAGGGTTCTAGGAAACCCTTTCCTAAGTGCCTTCAAAGCTGTGAAGGATGGGGCCTCCCCTGGTGGCGCAGTGGTTGAGCGCTGGGCTGTGAGGCCAGCGCCTGTTCGATCCCCGGCCACCGGTGAGGGTCCCACATGGCGTGCAGCCCTCTCCTGCCGCTCACTGCTCCCCTCAGCAGTGTGTTTCGTTGGTCTGCCTGTTCAGTTCCCCGCTCTGGCTCTGGTGAGTTCTCTCACCCTCCCGCACTTGTGACTGTACCCAGTGCTTGTATGAATAAATAAATAAATCTTTTTAAAAAAAAAAAAGCTGTGAAGGATGATCTCGCAGCAGACCACTGTCATCCCAATTAGAGTCCCCAACAACTTCAGTTTACAGAAGCCCCGAGCCCAGCCCCTGTGGAAAACAGTATGGAAGTTTCTCAAAAGCAGTAAAAATAGATCTAACATAGGACCCAGCTATCCCTCTCCTTCCCTACCAAATAGCTCAAAAACACCAATTTCGAAGGCTAGATGACTCCTCTGATCATTGTAGCACTATTCACAGTAGCCAAGCTATGGAAACAATGTGAATGCCCAATGACAGATGAGTGGATTAGGAAAGTATGGTGTTATGGATATACACAATGGAACACTACTTGGCTTTGCAAAAGATGAAGTCTTTCCATTTGCAACAAAATAGATAGAATTGCAAGGGATTATGACAAGCAAAATAAATCAGAAGGCGAAAGACAAATACTGGATGATCTCACTCATGTGAAATATAGAGAAACAAAATAAAGGAACAGACAAAATAAAACTGAAACAAACCCTAGAAATCAGACCGCAGAGTTAAAGCTACCAGAGGGGGAGGACAAGGGATGGGGGCCAAAGGAAGGAAGGGGCCCCATGGACTGGGGTGGAGGATCACTGGTGCTCAGGTGTGGTGTGGCAACACACATCTGAAGAGGTGGGATTCTAAACGTCTCAATCATATGCAGGGGTTTGCATCACACAACCTCAGTAAAAAAATAATTAAAAAAAAAATAAGAACACCCAAGGAGCTACGGATGTAGCTGATGGCTAATCAGAGCTGGCATCCAGCATAGGGGTGCCCTGGATCCCCACTCAGACCCACGGGCGTCCCCCCCAGACTCCCCCTTGTCTGTAAAATGGGTATACAGATCAAACCCATCTCTGATGGTTCTTGTAGCCATCTCTGATGGTTCATGAAGCAACCATGAAAAAACAGAGGGGCCTGGCACACAGTAGTGAAATAAATATTCCTCTTCCTATAGCTTTCGGTTTATTTGAGGCACAAATTCAGTTCTGCTGGGGCAGCTGTAAAATATGCTAAACCGGCAGAATGTCAGAGCTCTCTGACCGACAAGGGGCAGGGAGCCCAGGAGAGCACTGTGCAGGCAGCAACGTACCATCTTTGGCCAACTCCTCCAGCAGCCCGTTCCACTCCTTCCGGAAGATGTTGGCCCCCGTGAGACTTCCGTCCCCGCCAATGACACACAGGTTGGTGATGCCCTGCTGAATCAGGTTATGAGCAGCCTTCAAGCGACCTTCTCGAGTCCGGAATTCTTTACAGCGGGCACTGCCAATAATGGTCCCTCCCTGGAAAAGGAAGAAAATTTTTGATTTATTTCCTCCTAACTGAACAAATGCTAGACTGGGTGCATGGCAATGCTGATGCATACACATAGGGCTTTCAAAATTGAGGTCTCCCTTCTTTCAGTCTTATAAATTAGTCATCAATGTAAGTCTGTACTTCCCCCCATTTTTATTTCCATCCTGAAATTCTATGAAAAAAAGACCTATACAGGGTAGCCAGGAGGGCATGGAAGCAGGGTTGATGGCAGGATCAACTAAACAGAGCAGAGGCTACAGATGAGCTCAACTGATCTGACTGAGGTTGACAGCAAGGGTAGCTGGGCACCCAGGAGCTAGGAAGAGCTCAGCACCCAGCCTCAGTGTGTCCAGTGGCTGCAGGGAACAAGGCTGCCCCTTCCATTTGTTCAAGGCCCTCACATGTGCAGGCAAAATGTACAGAAATCTGTGAGCTACAGGGATTTGTTTTTCTACCACATTCCCCCTCCCTTACCTATTTTTAAAGACTAAATCTTAAGTGTGATCATCCAGACTTTTGAAAGAACAAAATTGGGCCTTCCTGGTGGCACAGGGGTTAAAGACAGTGGTATCAAGCTATCTCCTGCCACTGCAGCACTGAGTTTGATCTCTGGCTGGCCAGGGAGATACCTACATGGCACAGCAGTTCTCTCATGCTTCGTCCACTGCTCCCCTCAGCAGTGTCTTTCAGTACATCTGCCTGTTCTGCTCCCCACTCTCTCTGGTGAATCCTCTCACCCCCTGCATCTCTGGTTTACACCCCAGTTCTTGTATGCATAAATAAATAAATCTTTAAAAAAAAAGAACGCAAAATCATGATTTTTTTTACACTTGGTAAAAAAAAACCCCAATAACCACAAAGAAGGAAGCGTCCCAGTTTTACTTAGAAAAATGTAGGATCCTAGCCCTTTGTGTGTGGCTAGGAAGGCACTTATAAGACTTCAGTTTTGTGTGGGAGGCTTCAAGTGCCCACTCACCTCAGAGAAAGATCCTATGTTAAGGACAGTAATCAGGATGGGGGAGGGCATGTTGGGACTCTACACAGCCCAGGGGACAGGGAAGGCGGAGGGCACAGGGCAAGACATGCTGGTTCCCTGAATGTTGATTTGACCAAGAGATTCCAGAGGGTCGTGTGATTTTAAGTGGAAGTTAAGTCAGCAACACATCAATAACAACACTGGGAGAAAAAACATGGAGAGGACCCAGAAGGACACTAAGTAGCAAAGAAGCCGGCAACTCATAGACATGCACATGCACATACACACACACATGCTCGTGTGAGCACACACATGGTCACACATACTCTCCCTTATACACACTTCAATTGACATGGACTTCCCACCTTCTGGCACAGCACAGATCAGAATGGAAATGTCCCTTTCTAGGCAGTCTAGAATCCAGATAATATGGTCCTGAGTTTTTGCAAATATTACTCTATCTAAGTGTTGATGACCATCAAACTTTCTTACAGTCTCTTTCCAGGCATAGTGAAACAAAGGAGGTCCAAGTGCAAACTTACGTGTCTGTGACCAGCATGACAACCTATTCCCCATGAGCACGCTGCCCCACCCCCAGATTTATTGAGAAATAGCTGACATATGACATTGTGTAAGTTTAAGGTGTACAATGTCATTTGGTGCATGTACACACTGCAAAACGACTACCACAAATTTAGCTAATACATCTCTCAATGCACATAATTACTTTTCTCTTCTTGTGATGACAACTTTACAGATCTACTCTCTTAGCAACTTTCAAGCATATAAAATAGCATTGTTCACATTTTTTAAGGCCTATAATATGATGAAATAATATACATTGTGAAATCATCAACACACTCAAGTTAATTAACGCCTCCAAATCACAGTTACCTTTTGTGTGTGTGGTGAAGACAAGGAAGATCTCCTCTCTCAGCATCTTTCAAGGATACAATGCTGCATTGTTAACTACAGTCGCCACGCAGCATAGCAGATCCTCAGAACTGATTCATCTGATAACAGAGTGTGTAACTTTGACCAACATCTGCCCATTGCTACCACCCCTAACCCCTGCAACCCCCAACCTACTGTTTCTGTGAGTGTGACTCTTTTAGATTCTCTACATGAGATGACGCAGTGTTTTTCTTTCTGTCTCTGCAAATGGCTTATTTCATTTAGCATAATGACCTCCAAGGCCACATAAGTTGTCTCAGATGGCAGGATGGCTTGGTTATATACACATATAAAATGTATATATCCACTATGTGTGTGCATATAATATAGATGTGGGTACGTGCACATGGGTCACATTTCTTTTTCAATCTATTCATCTATTGCACTAGCACCTTCCAATGAAATGTTTCAACTTGAATTCTATTAAAAAGTACTCAACATGAGTCATGGATTAATAAATACATTTCAAAAGATTGAGCTGCAAGTAAAAAGCTTTTCCAAAGTCCATTCTTCCTAAGCCATTGCTTTCTTCCTCATCCGATTTGGAGCCTTCACTAAGCTCCAATGTTCCAGGAGTTTATTAAGCATAAAATTCTCAGGCAGGTTTCTTTTAAATTCAAAGTAATCAACTGTTTTTGCCCCCAGTGGTAGTTACCTCATCTTTGCTCATACCAAGGCAATTAGCTGTCTGATTCAGGCCAGAACAGGGGTGCTGTGTTTCCACTAAATCCACAGCTCTCAGAGGTTGCCAGCGGGAATCTTTCCCAGGCTTTGTTACACCGATGCCAGGGACTTGCAAAAACCCCTACAGGCATGGAGATTTGTGTCTAAACATAAAACACCAGCAAGCCAAAGTACCTTAACGTAATTTGGTTTAAAAATCAGCCCAGATTATTACAAGTAGCATGACCAATGCTAGCTACCCCACGTAACTTTATTGCAAGGGTAATAACCCTCAGTTTGCACTATATAAAGCTTTTTTAAAAAATTTAATTGACAGTGACAAATTAAGGATGTTTTCTTGCCATGCAAGTAGGCCGCACACGAATCAGTCTTAAGTATTACTGCAATGCATATACAAAAGGCTCTAACTCAAAAGTCCCTTAGAGAAGCAGTATGAAGACAGCACCTACCACTTGCAGAATGCTCGAGACGCTTTCCCAGTTGGCCTCCACAATGTTCCTGCCGCCATCTACCATGCCTTGGTAACCCTGGAGGAAGAGAATGAAAACATTTTTCAAACTGGGTTAGACTTTGTGGAGACACTAATTGATGTATTAATTGTGTAAAATGGAAATACAAATGACAATGCATCTGAGCTCCCAAGAGCCAATGGTTAGAAGACATGGTGGGCCTCCCTGGTGGCATAAAGGGTTAAGCACCGCATTATGAAGCAATCTGCAATCTCTGCAGCACAAGTTCAATCCCTAGCCGGCCAGGGACAAACCCACATGGCGAGGCAGACCTCTCCTGTCTTACCCACTGCCCTCCTCAGCAGTGCATTTTAGTCAGCCTGCCTGTTCTGCTTCCCACACTGCTCCCCAATCTGTCTCTGGTGAATCCTCTCACCCTCTACATCTCTGGCCTGTACCCCATATCTTGTATGCATAAATAAATCTTGGGGAAAAAAAAGCACCACCATTAACTATGAAAAAAAAAAAAAAAGAAGAAGACAGTTCGATACAACTTCTAGTTCAAACTATTATCTTGGGGTAGAGCCTCTTAAATTTAATCTCCAATAACTGGGATTTCCACCAAGACTGGTTCATTGCATGATGGGGAATTAAGATAGTTTGCCTACTGGTGACTAAGAGACTGAAAAGGGTCACATCTCCCCTAAAGCTTTTTGTAATTTATTTTTTTTTTTAAAAGATTTTATTTATTTATTTATTTATTTATTTATATAAGCACTGGGTACAGTCAGAAGCGCAGGAGGTTGAGAGAATTCACTAGAGCCAAAGCGGGAAGCAGAACAGGCAGAAGGACTGAAGTACACTGCTGAGGGGAGTAGCAGGCGCGGCAGGAGAGGTCTGTTGCGCCATGTAGGACCTTCACTGGTGGCCGGGGATCGAACCGGCACTGCAGAGGCTGCAGGCAGCTTCGCAGCCCAGCGCTCAACCGCTGTGCCACCAGGGGAGGCCCACTGTTGGTAACTTAATACAAGCACACACGAGCAGTTGTGGTGACCAGACTGTATGTATACATTAAACATTCCTACTGGGGCCTCTATTTGCCCAGGCAATTTATACTACTCTAGATTTACAGCATTTTTTTCCTTTCAAGCACAGCTAAATGTTACCCTTGAAATTCAGTTGTCTTACCTTCCACTTAGTGACATTTACGGAGGGCAAATTTTGGATGAAATCGGATCTATGTACATTTTTGCTTAGATGCCCAAAGAAAAGCATCTCCATTTTTCTCCATAGGAGAAAAAAAGATCAAGAAAAACAGAAATGTTTATTGCATTTTTATCTGTCTTTCTCACTTTCCAGGGCATTTAACCTTAAAAAGGAGTAGGCATTAAGTATTTAGAGATACTTGACATAATAGATTATTATTGTAGATTCATATCCTCTACCTAGTGAAAATCTAGAAGAAAAAAAGGAATAAAGAATTTAAAAAATAAAATGGCCCACTGAGTATGGAACCCCATATACAAATTCATCAATAATTCATCCCTTTATGAGTGATTCATTCATATATTTATACATGTAAAATTCTCATAAAAAAAAGGTAAGACACACATATTATCAATATATAATTGAGTGTTATCTATGTATTGCTATATTATTTATGATGCATGGATATATAATGTAGAAAAATGTAAACATACACATGTACATGCATGTGTGTATGCACTCGTGTCTGTATATTACAAATGAGGAGAAAATCATATAGAATGAAAAAGAAGCTCAGAGGAGACTGCTTTTAGTGGCAGTCAGTGTCTCTCTACTCCAGACCTGTGGGCTCCCCCAGCCCTCAGAACAGGGGGGGACAAGGATAGCCACGACCTGCCCAGTGCCTGCAGGGGGACACAGTGGCACTTCTTCAAACACACCTCAGCCTAACTTTAAGGGTCGCTTTCATCTTTTCGTTCATATCTCCCTTCTTCCTGAAGACTTTACAGGGTGTACATTTTTAGCCAATTCCATTTAAAGTATAGCGCTGGCGCGACCGGCTGTCACCGCAGAGGGCAAGGGAGATAAACTGGAGTCCACCCCACCCTCTGGAAAGGGAGCCGCTATCAGAGGGCTATTTTTGTTGGTCCTGGAATGTCAGCTCCTAAACAGAAGAGGACGAACTTCCCTGCTGCTCCAGTACCAAGTTCAGAACCACTTTCTCAGTGACCCCAGGGGTCTTAGTTCAATAGAACATTAAAAATAGGTCATAGTGGATGGAGGGTGGGTGTGTGGCTGGAGGGACGGATGGATGGATGAATGAATGGGTGGGTGGGTGTATGGGTGGGTGACAGATGATGAGAGAAAATAAATTCATCATTGGATAGATGACAAATGATAGATGGATCACTGGAAACATGAATGATAGAGAAGGGAGGGGCAGGAAGGAGAAAGAGAACAAAAGAGAAAGAATCCAGATTTAGGGTTGCTCGTTTACGTGACCGCTGCCTCCCTGCAACTCCCAGGTTTCTGTTAAGTAGTAGGTCTCACGCTGCCTGCACAGCACGCGTCCATTCTAAGACACAAGAATGTGACTGAACAAACTGCACTTTGTGGTCAAGCTACTTTCTGGGTTTGCTTCTGTGAAGCTGGATCACAGGGAACAGCAGGTGAGCAGGCCTATGACCTGGGTCCAAGTGGTTACTAGACCACTGGGCTGAAGTAGTCCCTGCATTTTGGGAGGATGTGTTGTTATGCAAACCTGTGACACCTGAGGAGAGGAACTATGCTCATTAATTAGGCCAGAACAGCAGGCTCCAGTTGGGCTTTTCCGAGCAGAGCAGGAGGGAGTGTTGCATTGATCCTAAGCAAGGCTTTGGCAAAACCGAAAGTGAAACCTTCCAAATCCCACACCAGTAGCCACTAGAGCCATTTGTGTATACTCTATTTCAGGTAAAGAGAGAGGAAGGGAAGGGAGCCAGTCCTGTTTCCAAGAATGAGACCTGGCTGCTGAAGCATCCTGAGATCACGGTGGGGCTGAGTCCCAGGCCCATCCTGTGACATACTCCAGCTCCACATTTTCATCACTCCTGTGGCTTGTATGTCAGAGCCACTGCTGCTCAGCATTGAGAGGAATGTGCTGCCCAATGTATGTCATACTGGGACCAGAAAAATTCCCTTCCTCTTTATATTTCTCAGTTTTAAATAGTGATTTAATAAGACTTTTTTTCTTTCTAAATCCTGTTGTTTCTAGAGTCACCATGAAAAGCTGTTCTACAAACCTTAACACATTTTGAAAAGTAAAAAGTTCTCCAAAAAGAATTTGATTTGTCTGTGTGTGCTCAGTGTGGTAATCAAAGGATTAAAAAAGGAAAAGGATGATTTTATCACCACTATACTTTGCAAAGCCCTCACGATTGTACACAGGAGTTTGGTTGCTAGGAAATGACTCACTCTTTCACTTGAAAAGTAGTCAAGCTCACCTAACATTTGGAAAATAAATACCAACCTCAGTTTTAAGTTGTCTTGCATAACAAGAATAATGTTGCTAAATTAGAAGGACTAGTTTTACACTGGTGTACTATAATTTGTAAATTCAGATGAGTTTTTCCTACTGAAATCTCCTAGAAACGTTCAACACCTAAACTAATGCAGTCACATCTTTCAAAAATTTTTTTTCTAAAATTTCCTTTGGAATTTGCCTCCCAAACCAGTTTCATGACTCACACAAGAAAAACAAACCAGAAAGCCTTTAAAGCTACACTTAGTTTTTGACCAAAAGTAACACTATTTTGTTGATCCTGATTCATAAGGTGTCCCCAAGAGATCTTTAAATGGCTCCATCAAATTAGCCACCCCACACAATGCTTAACATGGGATCATCGCATCACACCTGGGAGCATATTACAGGCTCATAAGTCATTTTAGCTTCTTGTCTGAAATTGTTTTGAGCAATGTCAAAATAAGTGCAATTATTGTCCCAACTGAATTCTTGGGAGATTGTGACATATTTAGACATTATTTTGAATGGAATTTTTGGGTATATATTAAATCCATCCTAAATAGAGAAAGGGTTAGTCCAGCTGTGGGTGATTTTCTCTTATGGAGATTTCAAGTGTATTTTCAAAAATGCAAGATGCAGAGGGAAATTTTAGTCTCCTGTTAACAGCAAAGCAAGCCTGCTCTTTTATAACGCTTACATGCTTGCTGGGTCCATATCTTCTCAACTTCATGCTTTTTTAGAATCTGATTTCCTGGATTCCTCAGTCAACAATGAAGTGTGAATGACAAACATTCCTACTACCAGAGGAAACGATCTGCCACAGACAGCACAGCTCAGAAGTATTTTCTAGATATTATCATCTCTGACTTTCTAAGCATAGTTACTGCATTCAGCAACTTATTCAGGCGGGGTTTGTTACTTTCAAATAAATACATGGTCTTGTTTCCTATGAAACAATTAAGATTCCTTAATTTAAAAGATGTGGAGAGGTCATCTCTGAACTGCTGTTAAGTCTTAGAATTGGCGGACACTGTCCTATGAAACCAGGTGTGTAAGACAACGGAGCACAGGGGCTCTCCAGGAGGTCACTGACTTTCAAAGTCCAGGAACTTTACTTTGCTTCTCGGAACTTCCCATTCAGACTTCAGGTCAGGCATCTCCACCCTACCTTCACCTGCGGGTTCTCAGGGAAAGAATGCTCTGGTCTATGGAAACTAAACCCCTGCTCACTGATTTCATGACTTCAGAGCAAATGCATAACAAACATTCTTCAAATTTATTCTTGGAGAGATTAGGTCAATGCTAAATTCTAAAATAGGTTAGCGTATAAAACAAGGTTTTGTACAGTCTTGTGCTTGGTGCTTCTGAAAATCTGATCATATACTAACACGACATATTTAGCCCTCTGGCGGTGTTAGATTTCTTTAAGCTAAAGTTAACAATGAAGCCAAAGCCACAGCAGGAACAATGGGAGTGGTTGTGAGGACAACAGGCCTGTGGCTTCACAGCAGCCCTCAGTGAGGACAGCGTAGGGTGTAAGTAGAATAAATTGTCACTTTTTTTGAGATTTGAGGACTAACATGTTGACTATAACTAGGTTTGAAGGAGTGAGGCTGAGA